TCAGACAAAATGGTCTTCCTTTCAGATAAAATCCAGATTCATTCAGAGAAGTTCTTCAGTTATAGAGTCTGGGGATGACCCCTGCTGGCAAAAAGTGAAAAGTGCAATGGATAAACAGGAAGAAGAGGAGATGAAAAAAAACGAGAGGTGAATGGTGCCAAGTAATGAAGCCCTTGACTTGAAGGCCAACGTTGTTTGCTGTGGTCCTCAGCATTTGTCCTTTTCCTGTTTTGTCTGTTCTCTGGTCTTTATAACATCTGCTATTTCCTTCCCCAGGATGCATATGGGTTCCTAAAAGAGAATACTAGAGAGGTGTTCCAGGATATAACCTCATTCAAATGCAGCCATTGCCAAAAGCCTAGACATTGGAGGTAGCATTTCTTCTTCCTACCTTCATATTTCCTATCTGAAGTTGCCCTGATTTGGTTAATGGGAATTATTCGAGAGAGTTGTGAGCATGTTTTTTTTAAAAAAACCTTTTTCATCCTGTTGTCTCACACAGGTTACCATTGTGGGAACAGAACAGTTATTGATAGTATTTCGAACCTGCTGATATCACTGGAGGAATTTATATCTTATTACTTTGAACCCACAAGTAGGCCAAGATAACTTTACTTCTTCTGTGAAAATTGATACACATTAAACAGTTAGGAGTTCTGCCAAATATTGTTTTGTTACTGTTTACACTACAGCTATATTATTTTTCTGTATTGTGCTTGATTTATTTTATGTACCAGCTGGAGCCTTTGGAAGAAGGTAGTTTATAAATCTTACAAATAAATAGGGAATGAATGCCTTCTAAGACATGCTGGATCAGTAACAAAGAGGTTTAATTTTCTTTCTTGTGTTTCAGTAGCCATGATCAATCATTCAAAGTGATGGATTCTATTCAATCACTTGTTAAATAAATAATACAGTCTTGAGCTGAGCTGATACCCTGCTTTTCTTTTATTTCAAATCCAACTTCCAGCAGTTCCAACTGCTGACATCTTTGAGTCTTAATTGCTTAAAGGGCCTGTAGCCCATTAAAATATAATATTTTTTCCTTATTTTTTTTCCTACTCAGTCTCTATGAGGGACTTCAGAACATACAAGCACTCTCAGTACTCCCATTTGTAACATCTGAAAGCAACTGTGCCTTCTTTCCTGAGATCATGTAAGTGTTGTACATGTAAGTACAGGGTCTTCTACTCAAGCAACGGGTTGGTCTAGATCAGGGGTCCTCAACCACCAGGCCGCGGACCGGTCCCGGTCCGTGGAGCACTCTGTACCGGGCCGCAAAGAAAAAATAAATAAAAAAATGGCGGCTTTCTTCGCCTTCGGTGAATGCTGCTGGGATCGGGGATCAAGGACACAAATGAAAGAAGGGGAGGGAGGAAGCAACCGAAGCCTGTCCTGCTCTCTGGCTCAGCGGCTTCGGTTTCCTCCCGCCTCGTTCCTCTCTCAGTCGCTCTCTCGCTGCTCCACCAGCCCAGGAAGAAACTGCTTCAAAGAAGCCAGGGGGGGGTGGCTTTTCCTGGCGCCGCAGCTCCTCCGAAGCGCCCGTTCACCCCCACCCCACCCGCCCGTGCGTGGTTCAATTCAGTGCCCCATTCTGCCTGTCTGGTTGTTTGGGAGCAGCTTCGGCTGAGAATAATAACTATTCGCCTCTTTTTATCAGCCGAAGCTGCTCCGAAACGAAAAAGGCAGGCAGGCAGGCAGAACGGAGCACTGTGGATTGAACCACGCGTGGGCGGGCGGGGTGGGGGTAAATGGGCGCTTCGGAGGAGCTGCGGCGACAGGAAAAGCCACCCCCCCCCGGCTTCTTTGAAGCAGTTTCTTCCTGGGCTGGTGGAGCAGCGAGAGAGCGACTGAGAGAGGAACGAGGCAGACACCTGAGGGAGGGAGGGAGACACCTGAGGGATGGGGCTGAGGGAGGCAGGGCCGAGGCGCTCCCTGAACTTGGTGGTTTGCTGGCAGACATTTTATTACCCGACTAGGTAACAACATCAGATGCTACCTAGTCAGGTAATGAAACGTCTGCAAGCAAACCACCAAACTCGGATTCTTCTCCCCCCCCCCCGGTCCTTGAAAAAGTGTTTGTGCTTGAAACTGGTCCCTGGTACAAAAAAGGTTGGGGACCACTGGTCTAGATGACCTCCAAGGCCCTTCCAACACTATTATTCTATATTTTATGATCCCAGGAAAGGCAGCAACTGCATTTGGATGTTAAAGTAAGTTTGTGTACACCAAAGCACATTCTGGAGAGCAAAATAACAAACAACAGGAGAAAGAGGAATTAACTTTAAATAAACCAAAACCTTAATCAAAACTTTCCTTAGCATTGGTCTCTGGACCACTACTTATCTGATCACATAACCATCCTCCATGCACATGGACACGTACCCAGAAGTTATTTAACCCGGTTCAAGCTCCCAATATTAGCGCTTGGATTGTTGGTGGGGAGGCAGACCCAAGCACCCTACATTTGCAAATGAGCAAAGCAGAACAATCCTGCTTTACAGAATTACTGGCCAACAGCAATTTAACTAAGCCCTTTACCAAATCTCAGGCCATGTTTTTTGTTCATAGTTTAGTGTCTCGTGAACAAAGAAAATTGAGATGAGAAAACTATGATGATAAATTAGGAACATACTGTAATATTGTATCAACATGCTCTCTTAATTGCATGAGAAAACAACTAGGAAAAGCAACTATGAGGCAAGTAGATCCAATTTGGAAGTTTTAAAGAGAAGACAATGTAATGCCAGAGATTTGGCTAAATTACTGTCTTCCTTCTCCCACTGTAAAGATGAAAAAATTATTTCCATTGCTTTCTCAATGCTGTAGTTTTATGGAAATTTTCAATATGTTCACCTTGTTTATTGCTGAGTGAATGAAAGTTAGTAATTTTTTCTTTCTGTTTCTTCCTGCTCAAGCTCATGTTTAAGGAATTTAAGCTTATAATTAGAGCTAAAGGAGAAATCATTCCAAAGCCCACCAAAAACTAGACAGTTAAAATAGAACCTATTCCTCAGCCAACATGAAACAGAAAGCTCAGTTTCTTACTGCTAACTGTGCAAGACATCAATTGGATTTAATGCAGCCGAAACCTATGTGGTATGTGGTTTTAGTGGCATTTTCATGTAATTAGAAGATTCTTATGAAGGATGAGAAAATGAAACACCCCATTTTTTTGGGGGGGGGGGGGAATAAAGTGACATCCAGTTGTTCCTACAGCTAAATTGAAAAGCTTTTATTCTACATGAAAATGCAAAATCCAGCTCAAAAAGGGATTAGAGATAGCTGGGGTTGTGAAGTCAAAATACTTTCTCTTGGGAACCAAGGATGCTCTCACACCTGGACAGAGGAAGGAGGAGTGATGTCACCAGATACATGGGCCATGTGACTGATCATTTGGGATTGGGGAGAAAACTTTTCTTTTAATTAGGTGAAAACCAAGGGACCCTTCAGAGTCTGTTTTCACCAGATATATGCCAATATATTTCCAATAAAGCTATTATTTGAAGCTATCTGCCTCTTGAGTTTTTGCTTGCAATGGATCTATTACTTGCAACCCTGACATGCTACATAGAAGATAAGCATCCTGAGTCCTGAAATATGGCATGCATCTTCTGCCAGATTATACAACAGAAACCATAGGAGACGGGCAGTCATTCAAATAACCTGGTCCTATGACATAAAGGGCTTTATAGTTAATAACCAGCACGTTAAATTGCTCCCAGAACACATTAACCAGTGGGCCTTGTGGAAGCGAGATGTCACATGGGCATAGTGAGATAAGCCCATCATTGCTTCTGTTGCATTCTAGACCAGCTGAAGCTTCTGAGTAGTCTTCAAAGGAGCCCCACATACAGTTCATGTATTAATTTTCTACATAAGGCAGTGAGTAGACAAGGATGTGAATGGTTGTCTTGCGAATTGACCAAGTCCTATGCTATTTGCTTTTGCTACTATAAATCGTGTCGAGCAGTGTTCACCTTACCTCACCAACTGAAATCCAAAGCAATTTTTACTTTATATCTATCCTTGACACCAACAGCTCCACTCACTCTCACAAAGTTGCATGTTGAATCCAGGCCTTGAGAGTAACCTTAATCCAGCCCTGTCCTCTATGTAGGGTATATTACTGCAGCAGCTCCAAATAAAGGTAATTAAAATTCTCCTTAAATACCTCAGTTGTTTCAATTTTGGTGATATGTACCTTTATGTATTATTAAACTTTCATAATTTATATGTAAATTTAAATTCTATATTTTTACTTATTCTATATTTTTACTCATTTTTATTTAAAAGATGATTCGTTGTGGCACTTAAACAGAAAGTCTGTAAAAAAAAAAATTTAAAATCAAGAATTCTAAGTATTCTCCAGACAATACATAAAGCTGTCCAAAACATTACATACATACATTTTATTCTACAGCTTTTATTCTACATTTCTCTCTCTCTCTCTCTCTCTCTCTCTCTCTCTCTCTCTCTCTCTCCCTCCCTCCCTCCCTCCCTCTCTTTCTCTCTCTCTCTCTCTCTCTCTCTCACCAGCACCCTCTAGTGGACTACAGTTTTAGAAGGTTGGCAAAAAGTAATAATAAAGAAAATCTTAGCTAAATGTCTATGGAGATTCTGAATCATCCAGGTCATGGTTGTTCCAAAGGTGATTTTACAAGAGGCAACTGGACTTTCTGATTTCTTTGAACATGTTTCACTTCTTTGGGAAGTCTTCTGAACTTATCTAGACTTATCTTCTTATTTAGCATAAGTAGGCTAGGACTAGAGTAGGGAGGTCCTACACATAAAAGAACATTGGGGAAAAGTCATTGTTTGAAACAGGCTGCTAAACCTTATTGTGGCCAATCCAGTTCTATTGCCCAACTAATGCTCATCAATGTAGGTACTCCTGCTGAGGGGGCAGGAGTTCCCCGTTTGCATCATTAGCCTCCTAAACAAAGATAGGTTGACACTACAACAAGAATGAAAGTAGAAACATTTTGTTATTTTTTTAAGCAAATGTTTTATTACTGAAATACCCACCCGTTATTTGTTAAATCTGTACATGCATTTGTTTCATTTGGAAGTGGTTTCTAAAAAAAAAAAAAAAATCCAAAATGACTCCAGCATTCTTCTGTTCAGAGCTGAATCCAAGAGAACAAGAACCATCACAAAAACACTTTATCAGTGAAGTTTATCAAATGAAGCATGAAGTGATGCCTATACAGCCTTTCATTCAAAAATGAAACAGTGACTGATGGATGATGGCAGTAGGACAAGGGTCAACCTGGACCATTATTTCAAATAAAATGACCAATGTTTGCTACACTGTTAATGTGAAATGATTCAAATGATGGGACTCTTGAATCATCCAACAGTCTTACTGCGCAAAATCTAGCAAAATCACTCCTTGTTATAGTTATATAAGAAATTATAATATTTGAAAGGTAGGAAAGCATGGGAATGCAGGTACTCTTAACTAGATTTGGTCTCTAAATTATGTCAAACCCATTTCATTCTCCCTCAGTAGACAAAGATAAAGTTTCCTATTTGCAAAAAGTATCTTCTGTGCTGTGAGATGATGGAACGTAGCATTCATGCTTTCATCTATACATTAATAATTGTTAATGTAAGGGACTTGTAGTTCTGGACATGTTAAGTTTTCCTGGTTGCCTTTTTTGGCACACCTCAAATGGAAGCTCTCCATGCAAAACCAGAGCCATGGTATCAGGAGAGAATGCTAATCATACTGTGACCACAATCTTGACTTTCATTTTCACAGTTTTATGTACTAGCAGCCTTTCCTTAATATGGAAGGAGAGATTTCCCTTGTGAAACTGGGCTGTTTCCTTGCATCACCTTAGAACAGGGTCCCAAACTTGGCAACTTTAAGACTTGTGGACTTCAACTCCCAGAATTCTGGCAGTTGAAGTCCATAAGTCTTAAAGTTGCCAAGTTTGGAGGCCTCTGCCTTAGAATATAGATGTTCACATGGCTTTTGAATAGAGAAGCATCTCCCAGTACAAATATCAACAGTAAGTTCTTCACAGTGACTCCTGCAACATGGGTTCTGGTGGCAACTACAGTGACTCCAAGGTCACATGATCCCCAACCAAGGAGGCAAGAAGAGCTATGTACTTTCCTTGGTACATATAAACTAAAGGCCAGAAAAAGTGTTCCCTGCCACCATTGGCATGAACAATAATCAATTCTGTTTACCATTTAACAAAGAGAAGACAGAATTACAGAAGATTCATACTAATGTGACTGGAAATATGTATAGAGTCTCCATCACCACTTCAAATAAAGTTGGCAAACCAGGAGTCGATGTCAGAGAGCCAGGACAGACTCATCCTTGGAGAAGCGATCACTAAAATGTCTCCAATGTAATGGATTCCCAAAGGGAGGAGTATGGTAGAAAGGAGAAAAATGATATCACATTTTCCGTATCATACATCCCTGTCCAAAAGGTAAACGGTGGTATTTTAAGCTTACAGTCCAATTCTTGATCTGGCTGGTATCAATTGAATAGATCAGAGGAACTGAAGCTTAAAAAAGATACAGGCATCCGATTATTTAGAGGAGAGACGTTCCGCTCTACAGCGTGTATTTCTAAAAGCATGTGATTAAAAAAAATAAACCACAAAAGCTAAAGCCCCCTCCCTCCAGATCTTCCTCAATGAACAGTATAAGGATTATGTACATATAGCAAACAGCTGCAACAATGGGAATATGGGGATACTCTAAGCTTAGTCACAATCAACAAATGTGGATAAAAGGAAGGGAGGGAGAGGTGCTGGCAATAAAGGTGCAGGGTATCTCACAAGGAGAAGATTTAAATGGCCTGTTTCATAAAAGAACAGTCAAGAGATAAAAGGAGGCTGCCCAAGTCCCTCAGATAATTCATCAATACCACGCAACCTAATTGAACTGCAGCAACACTGCAGAGTTGTCACCAGAGGGATGAAGATAGCCTGGGTTTAAGAAAGGGGCATTCCATGTGTTCTGGGGCAGCTCTCAAGACCAGCAGTCTCTCAGTACTTGGGCACTTTGGTGTAATCTTCAGTGTGAATGTTCTTGCAGAGGCAGATAGACAGCACCATTCCCAGCAACTGCAAGAGAAAAAGGAAGGAAGGATGAAAAGGCTGGTTCTTTGCACTTATAAAGAAATGGAGAATCCCTGGCCAGAATTTAGCTGTTCAGCGATTATTCAGATTTAGACCAAATACATTCTTATAATGGAACCTAAGACTAAGCCAAAGTGCTTTTTCTGGTTTTAGAACTTAAACTTATACACCGCTTCACAGTGCTTTTACAGTCCACTCTAAGCAGTTTACAGAGTCAGCATACTGACCCCAACAATGGGCCCTCATTTTACCAACCTTGGAAGACTGAGTCAACCTTGAACCAATAAGAATCGAACTGCTGAACTGCAGGCAGCTGACAATCAGCAGAAGAATCCTGCAATACTGCATTCTAACCACTGCACCACCACATGTTTTATCTCAACTTCCTTCATCTTCTCAGTCTTCTTGGTTCTCCTCTGATTGTCAAAACTGCAGTTATAAGCTCCTCTAGAGAGGGAGCTATATTTTGCTAAAATTACTGTGAAAAGCACTTTCATAGTATGAGTTTTACTACAGTTAGTTCTTACTTACTGATGATCACTGGGAGTAGGGATTCCATTGCTAAGCAATGCAATCATAATGTAGGGCATCACACGACTGCACCAAATTATGATGATAGTTCCAGTAGTCCAGTAGTCCCCATTGCTGTTGTTAAGTGAATCCTATGAGGTTGCAGCATTCCACAGTCACATAATTCCCTACTGACTTTGTTTGGTGGAAGCTGGAACAAATTCTGATCACTTGACCACAGGATATTGCAACATTGCAATTGCATGCAGGTTGCTGAGCACACAAATAATTACCACATAATCATCGAATGCTGCAATGAACACAACTATAAGGACCCCTCCTAAGTACCTCCTTTGTTCAGTATCATTGAACAGTCACTGAATGAGTGGACTGCTGCATTTAGTTTCATATGTTTAATAAAATGTTCCAAATAAAAATGTGAGAAGCAGCTAATGAACCATATTCAGCCTGCCATGACCAATATAGTTGATTTGTCATCATATTGAAACATGTCGGGACAAAAAAAGCAGCATCAGCAGATAGGAACTCATACATAATAAAAATGGAAATCAGAAACCTGCTGAGGTGAAATAAATCTCCATCAGCCATGAGAGATAGAATGATCATTCTAATTGAGAGACGACAATGGAAGAGATGTAGATGGAGCAAATAACCAGATCTCCTCGGATATTTGAGTCTTCAGGTTTGGATCTATTTATATCTGGTTCATAGTATCTCCCTCAGACATATTCTCTCTCATTCCCTTTTTGCTTCTTTGTTTTCAATCATAAACAATATTGCTAGTGTGAATAAATTGAAGCTGACAGGAAAACATTTAATCAAAACTATCTTCTTTAAAAGGCTCCAATCATCAGATAGATCTAGATTTTTTTAAAAATGTACTTTTAGCCAAGACATAATTAAAAAAGGAATAGAAAGAACAATTCATACTTTTTGGAAAATTGATTATAGAGAATATATTTAAGTACATTTTTCACTTGGATATCACTTCTGGATTGTGTGCCTGTGATGAAAAAAAAATGAAATGCTGACTTTGGTTTCGTCAATCAGAAAGATTTGTTATTCTAGAAATGGCTAGTTATATGCAAATGTGTAAAAGCAAAAAGTTGAGGCTAGAGTGTTTTTATCTTGTACTGTGCTAAAAAGAGTTGGAAGTCAGTGTCTTTTTTCTTCTTTTTTCTCCCTTGTACCTCAGACTTTCTTTTCTCCTCTCTTTTTCCTTCCCCTAATTTCCTATTTATATTTTTTCTCTGTATTTTATATATTAAATAAATAAATAAAAGGAAAATTGATTAACTTCCACCAAGTACCAAGTATTCATAGGCCAAAGAGCCGATGTACTGTACATACAGATAATATTTTGCTTTGCTTGTAATTACAAGCAAAGCCACTAACAAAAAAGCTTTTTTCAAAATGCAGGAAAATGAACACCTACCTCAATGACTGCAACCCCCGTGCATACCCCAAGGATGATGCCAAGGTTGTCTTGTAACCAATTCTGCACACCTTTCATACATCCCTGGAAGATACGTACCACATCTGATTTACCAAGATTATAAGATTATGGATAATAACTATCAAAAGCAGGACAGTGTTATTGAGCTAGAGCACGAGTACTTTTGAAATATTTTCTATTTATAATGACTATTCTGGATAAGGCCAAAAGAAATTAGAAAGCTATTATTTTCTCTTTAGTCTAGGATTCTCTTATCTCTGACAAGCAGGGATTTTTTTTCCAGGATATCTTATTTCCTTACTGCTGGTTTGTGACCCAATTAGATTCCAAAGGGTTGTTGGACACTGAATTTGAACCATACCCATCAGAAATATTCCTGCACTAGAGCAGGGGTCGCCAACCTTTTGGACCTCAGGGACCACCAAACTCATAATTTTAGATCCCAGGGACCACTAACTGGTTTTGTGGGTGTGGTCTAATTTGTGGGTATGGCTTGGTGGTCATGTGACTGCCTGGGCATGGCTTGTATGTAAATATTATAAATATTTATATAAATATTGAATTTTTTATAAAAAAGAGCAACTTTTACCCAAAATCAGGCAACGCAGGCAGGCAGATTGAGTTGCTCACAGAATTACAGATTCGTTCAGAAATCTATCTATCTGCCATTGGCTAGCTCAGTCTGTCACATAAAATTTGCTTG